CCTTTTTGCTGTTGAGTTACATGAATTCTTTATATATTTTGCATACTAATCCCTTATCAGACATGATTTGCAAATATTTTCTCCCATTCATTTGGTTGCCTTTATTGTGTTGTACATGTTCTTTGATGTGCAAAACCTTTTTAATTTGATATAGTCTTACTTAATTGTTGCTTTGACAGCTTTGCTTGTGGTGTCAAATATAAAAAATTATTGCCAAGACTATTGATAAGAAGGTTATCCCTGCCTGATTCCTTCAAGAGTTTTACAGTTTTTATGTTCTTAAACGTAATAGCTGCTCTGTTCTCTTTGTCTGCCATGTCCAACAGCTGTGTCTACCCAGAGTCAATTACTATTGACTGCTTAAAAAAAACCCAAACCGTTGTTTCCCTGTCTCACAATGATTTTGGACAGTTGGGCATCTTCAGTAATATATTGTAGCAACTCTAGATTCTGATTTTTTTTAATCCTCCTGAAGGCTATTGTTTTGGGGTTTTCCTTTATTTTTTGTGAATTACCTGTATCCAATCTATAGAATCTCACTCCACCACAGTTTAAAGACCCTGAATTCTGTGTAAATTTTTTTATTCTAATTTTTATGTTTTTAGCCTGATTTCTTAGGGGTTTCTTCTCTGTCTGCATAGCTTAGTGATCAGCTGGACATCTTGATTTTATAAAGCTTCCACCATTTTTTGATGATCCTCTACACGCATCACAGAGTACATTAAAATTTGAGTAGTTTTTAAGATGCCCTCAGCTTTCTTGGAGGCCCTCTTAGGTCTCCCTTGCATATGTGTACAGCTTCTCGACCAGGGATATGTTCAGAGCTTACTTAGCCCCTCTGTGACTCTCGTATTTCCAAGATCTCTCTGTTAACTTTCTCAGTGTTCTGCCAGTCTGTCATTTCCCCCAGCTGGGACTGTAGTCTCATGGTAGCAAAGGAGTGGGCTTTTTCACTGTGTTTCCTGTCAAATTTGCTATTTTTCTGCGAGTGCCACTGGACATGGGTTTTTGCTCTCTGTTCTAAGTGATAGTAGCCCCCATGTAGAAGCAGAACTCCTGGTTTTCAAGGTCAACCCAGCCTTGGTAAAACTCTGTGACTGACTGAGCCAGGTGGTGATAGTGGGGGATGGTAGCTTTCCCTGACAAAAGGGCCACTGCCCCCAGAGGCCCAACTCCAGTGTCTAGCAGCTTTTCATAAATAAATGCTTCTCAGTTTGTTGCATTTGAACGATTTCCAGAGCTCTGAAATGATTATTTTCTATAGTGTAGTATTTTTTATAGTTGTTTGGGGGGGGGGGAACTCTTCATTCCTCAAGAGCTGGAAATGTCACCTCGTTTTGAACTAACTTCTTAGTCCTATCTCCCAGCCCCACTTTAATTCACTGTAATCAGGCTTTTGTCACAACCATTCTACTGAAATAATTCTTGTAGGAGCCACCAGCATCTTACATTTGCCATATCCAGATACTGGTTTTCTGCTTTCATCTTAACCTTTCAGCCGCTTTTGACATAAATGGTTACTCCCTTTTTCTGCAAACTCTTTTACTTGGCTTCTAAGGTAGCACTCTCTCCTATGTTTTTTAAACAAAATTTTTTAAAATTTATTTTATTTTTTTAAAGATTTTATTTATTATTAGAGAGAGGAAGGGAGGGAGAAAGAGAGGGAGAGAAACATCAATGTGTGCATGCCTCTCACACGCCCCCCAACAGGGACCCAACCCGCAACCTAGGCATGTGCCCTGATCAGGAATCCAACTGGTAATGCTTCTGCTCACAGACCAGCAGCACTCAATCCACTGAGCCCCACCAGCCAGGGCTCTCCTGTTTTTCAATCTACTTCATTGACTGTTCCATGCGATACGCTCCTTTATATACCTATGAATTTTGCGGGGGGTGGTCTAAACTTCTTTCCTATGTGATAGATAAAACATTGGGACCCCTTGCTATAAGAACCCAACATGCAGATGACCTCCCAGATGCCAATTTCCAGTACCAACTTGGTGTTTTCTCTTGGGTGTCTAATAAGGATTTCAAACTTAACAGATAAAAAAATAGAACTCTTGGTCCACTTTCTTCCTCAAATTTATTCTCTTCAATATTTAGAATGATCTTTTAAAAAGATAGATCAGATTATGTTATTTTCCTTTACATTTAGTGTGAAATTTAGTTTCTTAACATGATTTACTAGTTTGTATGACATACCCCCCTGCCTGCTTCTCTGAACTTATCTCCCACCTCTCTCCCTTTACTTAGCTGGCTGCATTGTCCTTCAAGAAGTTTCTTGAATATGCAAAACCCATCTCTAGGCATTTACATTTGGAGTTTCCTGTAATTGCACTGCAGTGCTCTTCCCCATATGTTCACATGGTTCTCCTCATCAGATCATTCAGGTTCCTGAGGTCTGGTCTGATTTCCTTCTTTCCTCCATAGTCTGACTGCAAGTTTAATGAGGGTAGGAACTTTGTTATTCTTGTTCACTGCCACATCATCCTTAATATTGTAAGTGATGGCTGGCCCAGAAAGATGCACTACATTAATAGAATAACAGTGTTTTCTGTAGAATTAATATGTCCTTAGTGCACTAATAAAGAATGACTCAGTAAAAATGGCTAGTCTTGGGATAGTTGTATATTTAAGTACATTTCAAGCATGAATTTATGGTTTGATTAATACTTATAATTATTGCTCTATGAAATATGTTTTAGATCTTTTAGGGAATCTTATTTTTTAAAAGATTTTATTTATTTATTTTTGGAGGGGGGGAAGGGAGAGAGAAAAAGAGGGAAAGAAACATCAGAGTGTGGTTGCCTGTTGCATACGCCCAACTGGAGACCTGGCCCACAACCCAGGCATGTGCCCTGATCAGGAATCAAACCGGCGACACTTTGGTTTGCATGCTGGCACTCAGTCCAGTGAGCCACACCAACTAGGGCAGGGATTTTAAAATGATAAAATTTAAGCCTCCTTTTTAAAAGAATAGAATATAAACAGAACAGTAAGGGTAGATAAATATTTAGGTCCATGTACTTACCTCACTTATATATTCTTTTTATACAACTTCTGTTATCTGGGAATTTAATAGTTTTCTGTTACTTGGTTAATGAGCCTGAAAAAGTCGGTAGCTCATTTTAACATAGTTGGCTATGTTTTAAAAAAGTCAGTCTTAATATCTGTATATCATAAGAGGAGTAAGTCTTAGTTTACTAGCAGTTCCCCCACAAAACTAGCTACCTAGATGTGAATTGGCAAAGTATAGGCGCACTTTCAGAAATAGCTTCAATTTGGAATGGAAATGACACTCTTGAAATTAGTAGTTTTTTGTGTCCTCTGCAACAGTCAAAACTTAGTCTAACTTTAGTCATTTTCCTTGTTAAAACAATTATATTGTATTGTTTGTTTATAGCTTCAGCTATAAACATTTTATAACAAGTAATAGAATGAATGCATGTCTTACAAAAGAATTTTATTATATTTATTTTTTAATCCTCATTCGAGGATATATTGATTGTTTTTTTGTTGTTGTTGTTCTGTTTTTAGAGAGAGAGGAAAGGGGAAGGGATGGTGGGGGGCGGAGAGAGACAGAAAAACATCGATGTGAGATAGAGAAGTATTGATCAGTTACCTCCCATACCTGCCCCAACAGGGGTTTGAACCTACAACCTAGGTATGTGCCGTCACTGGGGATCAAACCTGTGACCTTTTGGTGCACCAGATGACACTCCAGCAGCCAGCCAAGCCACCTGACCAGGGCCTTATAAAAGAATTTTAAATGTCACTGTATACATAAACCCAGCTCTCATGATCAGTTTAAAGTGGCAGTAGTGGAGTCCCCTTGAGTTTCCTATTTCCCTGAGAGAACAGTCATAGAATAGAGCCTATTGGAAGTTTCAAGAGGAGAAACATTTGCTTCTTTCTGCTAACATCTTCTAATAACTGGAGCCCATTGTGCTCTAGGACAGTTCTGTGTATTTGGCTCGTTGTCTCCTATGCATCCCCCACTCCTCTTTTTTGTTTTTTCTCTTGGCATGCCCCGCCCCCCCTTATCATAACAGCATTTCTCTTCCAGATTCCCAGGCATATAGTTTATGGTTTTATTGCTCTTCTAAATCGTTATTTTAACTGAAATTTTATATTTTCTGTCTATATAGCTGGTACTTCGGTGTTCTTTCTCTATTATTTAATTTAGCCTTTATTAACTGATTTCTGACAGTCCAAGTATATTGTTGGACTTTATCTTTGTTAATACATAATCTTCAAATTTATTATTGCAAAATTTATAGTGTTAGGAGGTCATAATATTTAATGTTTTCTTTCTATGAAGAATGAGTATAACCTTGAAAATTCCTGAAGGGAAAATTATTTCTGTGGTTTGTAAATTTATCAGGACTATATAGTTTCTAGTATATTACATTTTAACTCTCTAAAACTTAGCAACTAAGCCCTTCTAATGGGGTAATTCTCAGATTTTTCAGTGTGTTTTGGAAAATAATAGGGCTTGTAAGAATTTTTGTTTGCATCCAAATTTATTTGTTTTATGTAATGTTTTATTTTTATAGTTGTAGAAATTATAGCAATAATAACTCATTTCAGATTATTTCTTACATACTGTAGACCAGTGCTTTTCAAGCTTTTTGTAGTGATGTATTAGTTTTAAAAATTTCCAATTCATTGAAGATTGATATTTTTGTAAATACAATACAGATGAATTAAGAAATATAAAATATAGACCCCACTTTATTATAAGGTTCATTTATATAAAACTATTCTGTCAGATTGTTATAGAATATTCCAAACACTTATTTTTAATTTGATTTTCAGAGCAGTAATAAATAGTTTATGGACTAGTAACAGATCATTTATAGATTAGCAGTGATCTATTGACCATATTTTTATTAACATGTCTGTTGCCTGCTGTTTGTAATGTTTGATGTTACTTCAGAAGTATTAGTCAATATGATGAGTTATCTGTTAAAAAATATTTTTCTGTCTTTCCTTTTCAGAACCGAGAGCTCCAAATCATGAGAAAGCTAGATCACTGTAACATAGTTCGGTTGCGTTATTTCTTCTACTCAAGTGGTGAGAAGGTAGGTCTTGCAGAAAGTATGTACCAAATATTGTGACAGACTTGTTGTTCTTCTAGAAATATTCTCCCTTTCCCAAGTGAAACAGTTTTGCTAAGTAAATGAAAGAATTCCAAAACACACGCCCTAGTGATTCTGAGCTCAAGGTATCATCTTTGATCATTATTAGTTGTGTCAGGAAAATGTTAAAGATAGGAATGATTTTTAAAGAATTTTCTTCTTTTTTTTAAACCTTTGTCTTCAGTTCTAGAGCACATTTAAATATATTTTTTTAAACCTTTATGTTAATATATTTGCTCTGGAGCCCCATGTTAGTTCACCTATTTATTGGAGGGAAGAAAATGATATAATTTTGTCAAGTTGAAATACTGGAGGGGAAGGGGAAGGAGGAGGACTTTGGTAGGACCGGAATGAGACTTAAATATAGGAGACAAGTTTAACCAATCTTTTGCTAGGGAAAAATGGAAAAATACATAATATTGTCACAGCTTGTTGTAAGTGATCGCTACTTATGGTCATATTTAAATCTGTACAAGCAAAGGATAATTAAGGAGCACTTTGTGCTGTCAATTCCCTCCCCTACTCCCCCTTCCTCTTGGTCTTTCTCTTTTGAAGATGTAATAACTACTGTTGGAGCTGGCAGCCTAGAAAATCATTTTCTTCTATTTTACTGTGGTCCTTTTCTTTCTGTCTGTTCACTTTCCCTTCTTTCCAGATTCAGTTGTTTTTTACATTTTTATCCTTCACTGATTTGAGATGAAGGGGCAGGACAAATAACAAACCACTTAATCTGTTTGGCTAAATAAATATGACTTTGGATAAGTCCATTTGATATTTTGGACCTCAGATGTTATGCATATATTACCGAAAAGTCCTTAGATCCATAATTCCTCTTGATTTCTAGCCTACTGTTCTTTTTATTTCACATACCTATTTCCCAATGTAACCATATTTAATTATTTTCCATTTAATTTTATTTAGATTATTTTTTAAGAAATTCTCTTTTTCATGACAGAACCTTTAATATGTGAAGGTACCTATATATTAAGTCAGGATTGTGTTATACATGCCTACAGATACATAATTGGTGTGTGTATATGTGTGAGATAGCTAATATTTTAACAACCAAATTGGTTCTTTAGTGACTCGTTTTTCAGGTGCATGCCTGCCTTTAATTTTAAATGATTCCTCTGTATTAGAGACTGTAAATCTTCATAAGTATTTGAGCTCTTTAGTTTCTAAAGCCAATTACTTGATTTATGCTATTTTTTTTTAACCTAACAAACTGCCTGTTATGTCTTTAATTTTCCTGTCCCTTCCCAAATAAAATTATGGAATATCTGTTATGTTCGCAGCACTCTTAGAATTTTGCAACCTCATGACTTTTTTGTGATGCTAGACATTATAATGACTTACGGAGGAAAATAAATGCAGAATTACTCTTTCCACATATCACTGGATTACATGCAGATTCATTTGCAAAGGTATCCTTAAAGCCCCTAAACATTTTCTCTTGACTACTTAATTTATATTGCTTTCCTTGTATGCCAGGTACTGTTTTAGTGCTTTACAAGTATTAACTCATTTAACTCTTGTGAAGAGAAAGAGAAAGGGAAGAATATCAAAACTTTTGAATAAGGCTCTGTTTGTGGTGACACCTAAAGGCTTACCTTTGTGGTTTTGGCTTGGTGGAAGTCCCCATCACAGTCTGCCCTCGCTGTTACTTAATCCTGTCTTGGAAGTAAAAATGGACTGATTGTTTTCTGTGTATTCCAGAGGATGATTTTCCTCCCGGCTGCTGTGCAGAGCTGCTTATTTATCTTAAATAGTCTTTCAGGTAAAGAGTAATTGAGAAGTCATTAAGGGAGATAAAAAGAAATATATTTCCTAATATTTTATTTATCTCAGACCTTTCTCTTTAGCATTGTAAATTTTCCTAAGTGAAAAAAGACATCTTTTAATTTTGGATAGTTCAACTAAAAAGATAGAAAGAAAAGTAGTGATTATTGCTAAAAATAACAACCCTTGTCAGAAAAAAGGAAGGTTTTCTAAGGATATGCAAAAATACATAGGTTTAGGACTTCCCATAATATTCTAGCCACCAAAAGGATAATTTTTTCTTGGCCTACTCATGATCTCCACTACTGTTTTTGTTAGTTGTTCTGGTAGGACCAACATATCACTCAAGAGACGAGATATTAAACTAACACATCCCATATGAGATGGGCTCTTGACTAGTGTTGGGAGCTCAGGTTTGTTATTATTAGTTCCAGCTGTCCAAGAGTAGGTTACTGAGTGAACTCAGAACTTCTTTTTGGAAAAGGGATGTAATGTCTTATGAAATTCTTACAAATCCTTAAAGGTGATTTCTTTCTGAATATGACAGTCATATATGAGATAGGCGTTTTTACTAACAGAAGCATTATGCATTATCTATGTATATAATTAGAAGAGTTTTGGGAGAGGAAATAATAGTTTGAGACGCCTCTGAGACATGCAAAATAGAGATGTCCAGTAGACAGGTACATGTATGACTTCATAGGTGGGGAAGGCAATAGATGGAGGAATGACATGACAAATTTGGATAGGTAGGGTGTGTAGCCATGTGGTAGAGCTCTTAGGAGTTTGGAAAGGAGGGGAGAGGATATTTCCCCTCCTCTCTCCGTTATTTGAGGCCAGGACAACAAAGAGCCAGCAGTTTGCCAGTATTGCCTTCTGGTCCTAGAATACGTTAAGAGAGCTGCAAGGAAGCCGGTACCTTTGGGTGGGATCCAGGTTTTGTCTATGGCAGGGAAGTAAAAAGAACCCTCTGTAAAGAGACCGGCGTTTGAAACTCCACAAAGAGTTTCTTTTTTGGCATTTCAGAGAGCTCAGGAGAAGCTCTGGGCAGGAGATCAATGGTAAGAACATGGTGCATTAGAAATGTAACGTTTAAAAATATTGTAATAATGATTGCTGAACAACATGAGGTTGATTGTACAGTTCTTTAGAGACCTTTAAGAGAGAGTAAATAGCCTTTTGCTCTATAATAATAGAAGTAGCAGTAATAATAATAGGCAGAACTTATATGGTGCTTATTATATGTCAGGCATTAATCTAAATACTTTATACTCTGCCCCCCCCTTTACTATCCTTCCCTTCCCTATCCTTAATCCTTCCTTTCTTTTGAAGAGCTCTAAGAAGACTATTGTTAATTCTACTTTAAATGTTAGAATTTACCATTAAAACCATCTGGTCCTGGCTTTGACTTTGTGGAAGTTTTTGATTACTGATTCAAGCTCTATTCCCTATATAGGTTTGGTGAGATTTTCTGTGTCATCTTAAGTCAGTACAGTAATTGGTATATTTCTAGAAATGTATCTATTATTTTTCGGTTATCTAATTTGTTGGCACACAGCTGTATATAGTATTCTGTTATCAGTCTTTTATTTCTGTAATGTCAGTTGTAATGTCCTTGCTTTCATCTTTGATTTGAGTTATTTGTGTCTTACCTCTTTTTTCTTTGCCAGAGTAGTAAAAAGTTTGTGAATTTGTTGATTTTTTCCAAAGAACCAACTTTGATTTTCTTAAATCTGTTGTTTTTTTTCTGTTCTTCATTTATCTCTCGTCTAATCTTTATTATTTCCTTCCTCTATTAACTTTAGGTTTAGTTTCCTCTTTTTCTAGTTTTTCAGGGTGTAAAGTTAGGATGTTGATTTGAGATCTTTCTTACTGTAGGCATTTACAGCAGTGGATTTCCCTCTCAGAGCTCCCTCCATTGCCTCCCGTAAGTTTTGGTGTGTTGTATGTTTGTTTTCATTTATCTCTTAAGTACTTTCTAGTATTTTGTTAGTTTAAGAGTGTGTTGTCTAATTTCCTCTTTGACCTGTTGGTTATTTAGAGTGTGTTTAATATCCAAACATTTATTATTATTTTTTGGTTTTCTTTTTGTTACTGATTTCTAGTTTCATTCTGTTGTGGTTGGAGAAGATACTTCATAATGATATGTCTTTTAAAATTTATTGAAATTTGTTTTGTGAACTAAATATGGACTATCCTGAATAATATCCCATGTACACTTGAGAAGAATGTATATTTTTCTATTAGATCTAACTGGTTTATAATGTTGTTCAAGCCCTCTGTTTCTTTATTACTCTTCTATCTGTACATTCTGTTCATTATTGAAAGTGGTGTCTTAGAGTCTCCAACTATTATTATTTTATTGTCTGTTTCTTCCTTCAGTCCCATCATTTTCTCCATGTATTTGGGACTCTGTTGTTTGATGTGTATATGTACATAGTAGTTATATCTTCTCAATGAATTTACCCTTTTATCAAAACAGAACATCTTGGATACCTTTCATTTTTTTTCTTGCCATTGCCCTGGCTAGAACCTTCAGTGCAGTGTTGAGAAGAGATAAAGCTGACATCTTTGTCTTGTTCTTACTTTAGGGGAAGAAAAGTATTCAGTTTTTTTATTTTTAAGTATTATGTTAGCTGTGGATATCATCTATTATCAGGCATCTACCAGTTGAAGGAAAGTTCCCTTGTATTTCTGGTTTGTTGAACATTTTTATCTTAAAAGGTTGTTGATTTTTGTCAAATGCTTTTCTTTCCATCTATTGAAACGATCATATGGTTTTTGTCCTTTATTATGTTAATAAGGCACTTTACATTAGTTTTGCCCCTTTTTGGGATGACACTAAAAAAAATTATACAGGTTTTGGGTGCACAGTTCTACAACACATCATCCGTACACAGTATTGTGTGTTCACTACCCCATGTCAAGTCTCCGCCCATCACCATTTATCCCCCTATACCTTCCTCCACCTTCCTCTATAACCTCTCCCCAAAATCACCACACTGTTGTGTCCATGAGTTTTTCCTTTCTTTTTTTTTGTTCAATTCCTCCACCCAGCCCCCTACGTAGCCACTACCCCCCCCCCCCCCCGTTCCCCCCTGCCCCACCTCCCACAACACAGCTCCCTGCAGCTGCCAGCCTGTTCTCTGTTTATGAGTCTGTCA